CCAGTGCTCGGCAGTACGCCACCGGCATCGGGGCTGTGTCCCTGGGGCCGAGGGCTCCCTTGGCTTGTCACCTGCGGGGCTGAGGGCCCCACCAGTCCCAGGGTGATCCCCGGGGGTGATCCCCGGGGGTGCTGGGGGCACCGCTGGCCTGCTGAGCGGTAGGAAGGTCCATAAGTATTGGGTGAAGGGGACATTAGACGTATCTGCTGAGAAATTGCTTGGGAGATCATTGGATTGTCCTTTGTTGCATTGTCATTTGTCTCAGGGTTGGTTAAGACCGTTTGGCCCAGCACTCTCACTACCCTTGGCTTGCTTTGTTGCAGCTGATGATGTGTTCACTCAAACCCTTGTGTTCCTACCAGCGTTTCTTCTCATTTCAGCAGATGCTCAAAGCCCAGGGAACAGGTTGTTGAACTTACTGGGCAGAAAGAGCGCAGCTCGTTTCCCGTTAACACCAGGATCATGAGTTCAATGGTGTGTCTGTTAGCCGTGCCTCAGACAGACTAACTTGCCGTTTCTCCTTCTGTAGCAATTGTTTGTTTCGGGCCCTGGGCGACCAGCTTGAGGGGCACTCGCGGAACCACCTCAGGTATCGCCAGGAGACGGTGGATTACATGATAAAGCAGCGGGAGGACTTTGAGCCTTTTGTGGAGGATGATGTGCCCTTTGAGAAACACGGTACGGTCTCTGTGGGGCAGTAGGGGAAGGGGTTATCATGGAACGATGAGCATCTTCTTAGGAAACAGCTCTTCATCCCCTAGAGCTCCTCTCTGGTTTTTAGAAACAGTGAGTTTGCATTTCTCGCTGTTATTTTTCTGTAGAAAACTGAGCTATTAAACTGGTATTGTATTTGTCTTGGAAATTGTTTAAATTTAGGAGAAATTTGGAGAAGGAAAGAGGCAAAAAAAGGCAAGGAGTAAAAATTTGGGGTTTTCAAAAAGAACTTGCAAAACTCTTTGAATCCTGGTGGGTGTGGAGTGACTGATTTCTTTGGGTTGCTTTTTCTCCTTGGCACTTGATATTTCATAGTGGTAGCTCCGGGAAGATCCAAAGCAGGGAGTGATACAGCCTTTGTTCTAACAGTTCCAAGGACATGCCGAGTACCGTGCAGGTGATGCATGAAAGTGGTCTGGTCACTTCATACGTGGCACACTTCCTTCCCAGCTGGTGCAGAGCTGGCAGCCTTGCATAACCTAAGGGTGTGCTGTGGTTTTCAGAGGTTTCTGTGGTGGTTTTCAGACACATTAACTTCTGTCACTGCCAGATTCTTGCTGCAGCAGTCATTGTTTCACAGTTGGGGTTTCCTTTCCAGGGTTTCTTGGGCTTATGTTGGAATTTTGTTACTCGCCATCCCTCCAGTGCTTTTGGAAGCTAGATTTCTAAATCTTACAAATGTTTTTTCCTTTAGTTACCAATCTGGCAAAGCCCGGTACCTTTGCTGGCAACGATGCTATTGTGGCCTTTGCAAGGAACAATCAAATGAATGTGGTTATTCATCAGCTTAATGCTCCGCTGTGGCAGGTGAGAAACAAAACTTCTACATTTTGGCCTGATTTTTAGCTGGTGGATATAAATAGCGTTGGAACTTCCTGAGGTGTTAAAAGAGAGCAGTCGTTAGCTGTCACTAGCTTGGTGTGATGTAGAGCTGTGCTTGCTTCTTCAGCCTTGAAGGAGAACACTCAGCTAGGAGGAGAGGGAGTGAAAGAAAACAGCGAATGCATGAAAGATAAGTATGTGAAGACAGAGCAGCATGTTTTAGTTTGGTTTTAAGCTACTAGTTTCATCGATATGTCTGTCTTCTGATGCTCTGACTACATGCGTGCTGACTTTTCTGACATTAACTTGAGCCAGGCTTAAGGAAACCTGAATGATAAGGTTCAGGAATATGGAAGCGAAGGTCCCTGCAGTGTGTCGCAATGAAGTCCCACCAGTTCTGCGTGGAATTTGGACGGAGAAGGCTTCTGACAGTTGGAGAAATGAGGTTCTAGACTAGGCAGAAGAGGGAAGAAGTTTTAAAACCTTCAGGTGGTGTTTAATCAGCTGCTGGAAGGGACTATGTGTGGTTTCTTCGGACAGCGGAGCACTGGAACACGTAATCCATCAGGTCTCTCCTACTCTCTTTTTTGTTGTTTTCCCTTGGCAAGTCCACGATGGAATCACACTCGATCTCTGCCTGTTCATTGAGCAAGTGAGAACCTGTATTCAAGTCAGGATTGTTTCTTTCTTGAGATTTTTTGTGATGGTAATAATGGATTTACAGGCTGGCCCCAGTTTACAGACAGTGCCAACGAAGTGTAGAGATTAAACGTGGCAATAAAGGAAAAAGACTGGATGGTAGCTGTCAGTGGTGTCTTAGATACATGTGAAACAGTGTCGGGTGGATTCCTGAATCCAGAAGAATTTAAACTCTTATTATCTGGCAGCCATGGGCAGTAAGACGGCTAACTGAAACACTCAACTGCTCGGCCTGCCAGAGTGCCTGGAGGTGATGACCCTGCAGGAGAGTTCATGGGGGTGGTGTTCAGGTTTTGTTACTGTTTTGAACCGGGTACTCCCCTCAGCGTGCTTAACTCTTATCGATATTTTGTGTATCCTCCTGAAAACCTCAAACTCTTCTTTTTTCATTCATTGACCTTGCCAGGGTTGTAAATACAGAGTCTATGGTGAGGTTCTGCTCTGCCTGAGCATAGACTTGTTAGTGAAAGGTTGTCTTAGGCTCTTGAGAGTGACGTAAGTAGAGCTGTGAATAGTTGTAACAGAAGAAGTTTCCTACCTGCACAGAGGATACATCAGGACATGAAAGTGTGGAGGACATCACAACGTGGTGACGATGCAGCAAGTTGCTAGAGTCAACTAACCCAAGATACCCTTTTTTCTTACGTTTCTATACTTCAACATACCTTTTTCCCTCCCCTCTCTCTGCTTTGGAGGCCCAGCAAGATTTTAGAAAGATGAGATTCCAAAGAGAGCGTTTCCAGGGAGGCAGATCAATAAGATGCTTAAAACAGATGATGAGAATATCTCCTTTGGTCCTAACTCTAAAGCAGATGATGTGTTATCCTTTCATTTTAAGAGAACCATTTGTATACACTGCAGCTAACCTGAAAAACGGGAGCAGAAGGGTTCAGGATCTTCAACTGATTTCAGACTCTGGCATAATAGGAAGCTCTTTGGAGGCGGGCATCTGTGTGGGCTTTTTAGGGCTTTACACACCCTTTACCTTCTTTGATAGTGACTGTAAACGTAGAGCTTCAAGTTAGCTCAGATATATGGGTTATTTATTGTCTTTTTGGATAACTGCTTACCTTTCTTCAGTGTTTGTGCCTTTTTTTATCTGCAGCTATCTTTTACTTTTACAGTTCCAGCGCGTTGTGGAAAGAGCTTGCAAAAAGAGGCATCAGCACTGAAAGCTAAATTGGCTAATTTTCAGAATAATCTTTCAAGAGCTTTGGGATTCATTAGATACCTATTTCGGCTCTGGCAGAGGAGAAATGTTGAAAGTAAATCTTGTTGAGATCCAACATATTGAACAACTTAATAGGATAAAAGGCAGGAGTTAAGTGTAACCAAGAGTTGAGCCGTAACTTAAAGGTGAACAAGTGTAAAGTAGGTGAATGGAGAATATCTGTTGTGAAATCCGAAGTCGTTAGTGCCACCCAAACTGCAGACGTGGTTGAAAGGTGACTTGGTGTATTTTCTGTAAGGGGGAGGTGAGCTGATTCAAAGATGTAAAAGGATTGGGAAATTCTGGAGCAGTTTCTTGTCCTTCGCTTGTTGACGTCTTCTGCAGGAAAGCTGTCAGGTCTGTGACCTCTGGCTTGGTGGGTAAGCAAAGGAGATCTGCAAATGCAGTGTAATTTTCTGCATTCCTTGCAAGAGCTGGAATGCTGGGTAGCTTATAGCCAGTAGCTAGAGCCACAGATGATCAAGGTAGAAATTATTCTTGTATCAGTACAGATAATACTCAAAGCAGGAGTTATCTGAGGAAACTGCTGTACTTGGTGCTGGCAGAGCAAAGGAACATTTGGTTCTTCGCAGTGCTGCTGAACGGAGTTAAGACATTTTTATGGTTTGGCTTTATTTCTGTTAGTCTTTCTTTTAAAAACAAAACCTATCCACTTCGAACACTAACTCTTTAAGCAGCATCTCGTCTCAGCTGCAGAACAAAACTTAACTCTGGGTGACTGTTTCCACTCTGGTTGTAACTCGAATGGACTCTTTTTCCTCATATTTGAGGGGAAAAAAGGCATTGCAGACTGAATGGGAACTGTCACTGAAATTGTGTCTAGGAAGATGGTCAGAAAATCAATAGCTTCTGTGGAAAGCTTTAGAAAATAGTTCCGAGCTTTCCACTGAAATATTTTCATACTGTGTTTTGTTTCTTAAGATATGACTGACCCAATGTTGTGTGTCTGGTTTTCAGACATTACCCTTGAGACAGAAGCCCTGTTGTTACTGTAGGCACATCTGGATGATTAGGTCAACTCTTCCTGTTTAAAGATGCTTCAGTAGCTATGTACTTTGCTTCCAATCACAGTGTTTATCATTGCTTCAGAAAAACAATACTTTGAAAAATATGATGCTAAAGTTGATTTTGATTCCAGATCCTCGTTTGCCATGTGTTTGTTTCGTTTAGATTCGGGGCACAGACAAAAACAACGTGAGGGAACTGCATATTGCATATCGTTACGGAGAGCACTACGACAGCGTGAGGAGAATCAATGACGATTCCGAAGCTCCAGCGTACCTTCAGATGGAGGTTGGTTGTACAGAACGACCTGGGTCAGCTGTGGGTGATGAATAAAACAGATGAATGCTACCAGTTGATTTCCTTTCTCATCTGCATTGAAATTGAGAAAGGAGTTTGGTCCCTGTGTCGTGCTGAGGATAGGAAGGTCCCTAAAGTCGTTGTAATTAGTGCTGCCTGCTCTCTCGAGACAGGCTGTGAAGTGTTTAAATTTCTGGGCTGAAAATCAATCCCAAATCTGATGCTGCGATGTGAGCTGTGGATGTCTTGTAGCAACCCAATCTAAATTACGTACTCGTGCATCTTGAGTGCAAAAACAAAGGGAAGAGAGGAAAGAGATGGAAATGCAACAGCTGGATACAACAGCTCTCTTCATATCTCACTTTTTCCTGTCAAGGAGTAAGCTGTGCTGTCCTCTAAGTTCTCTGCACACAACTGTATGTGTGGCATTGTAAGAAAATGAATACCTCACTTCAGAAGGCAGTGATTTTTTTTGTCAGTGTGCATGATGTTGTAGTTTGTGAAAGTTTGCTCAGTAGTGTGTGAGTCGTGGGAAATGGTGTCAGTGATGATGGAAGTCACCCAATTTCTAGGATGCTTTGACACAGGATATTTCTGAGAAAAGTGTGCCATAATAGTTATTTTTTTTTACTGTATATGATGAAATTGCTTCATGCTTGTGTGATCTCCTGGGCTTTGCTGGTTTTGCAGATGCTTTCCAAAAATGAATTGAATAAGGGGGAGGAGGTGAAGCCACAGAAGGGTGACTCTGAAGATGAGATTGAAGTTGAAATGGAAGATGCTGTACAAAAAGTGTGTAATGCAACTGGATGTTCAGTAAGTGTTGAGTAGACTTTTTATGCTTAATGTTCAAATCTTCTTGAGATGTGAAAGTAGCCTTGGGAGGAATTCTAGAAAGTATTCATCTTGGACAACTTCAATACCACCGCCATAAATCAGGGTGCATTTCATCCTAGACTCAACCCTTAAACGCAGATGAAATATATGGTCTTGTGTGAATACCTGGTAATTTGGGAAGGTTGGTCTTGCTATCTCTCAGAAAATTTCCTTTGAAACAAATTCTGTAAAACTTGAAATCCTTTGAGGATGTCTGTAGTTGAACATCCTAAATGACTAACAGAATGTCCTAAATGACTAGATACTCTGCCGATCTTCGCTGTTGTCACTGGATAGCCCGTGTGGTTCCTGCGGAGTGCTCCTTGCACCGTGTAAATGCATGGAACAGAAAGGGTCCAGAGTGAAACAGTTACACTGAAACAGCATATTCCTTTTTCCTGATATTGCCAGCATTTTAAGATTTTTCTCCCTCACCTTTTTCAGAAATGGAATAGACAGAAAGGTCATAAAAGCAGACAGCAGCCCCCTCTCAGTGGCGCAGATGGTTGTTGAATGAATGTGTGTCAGTGGTTTGAACTCTCTTCGGTGTTATCTTTCTCTTCTTGTGGACAGGACGTTGATTTAGTAAGCCAGATTCTGGAAGTGGAGGACTACAATATAGAATCTGCAATATTTGCCATCTTCCAAATGAACGAGGTGGAAAGAATCAGTAAGTACACGGAGTTTGTCACCTGGTACTTCAGAAGAATGCTGTCTGGTGTCAGTGTTCACTGTAAAGAGCAGTTTGACAGGGACAGCAGTGGTTGAAGCTTGCTGTTGGCTGTGCTGCTGCAAAAAACGCGGTTCCAGAAATTCTGGAAGAAGAAATTGGCTGACAGTGAGACAGCTTCTGGGTAGAGTGTGTCTGAGAAAAATCTCTGTTGTTGGTAGATACTGAGGAGCAGTGTGAGCCCCAGAGCGAAGGCCAGAAATTGTTTAGCAAAACTGAGTGGGAAGAAAATGGAAATGGTTCAAGAATCTGTGGAAATCAGACCTTGCATCAAGATGAAACAGAAAACAACAAAGGACGGGCTAGACCTGATGAAGACAATCGAGCTAGCAGAAGCACAAAGGTATGTGAAGGATGGTTTGGCAGTGATTTACACATCCTTTAATGATTAGGGGAACTCTCAGGATTGCTTCATCAGCAGCTATCTTCTCCTTTGAATCAAAAAGAGCTTCCCCTTACTGGATTTTGTTGCTGCTGCAGCTGTGACTTCACTGATAAAACATTTATTAGTGACATGTGGCACTCTTCCCAAAACGACACAAAACAACCTCCAGATAAGTAGTTTGGAATAAATGTTCCCTGCCATCTGCTTTGATATTTGCTGGTCTCCTTTCCAGTGTATTATTTTTCCCCAACCGAGCAGTCGATGTGTGGTTTCAACTTTGTGTTTTCATCCTTCCCTTTCAGGCATCTAAAAAACAAAAGAGGGAACAGCAGCGGCTGGAGAAGAAGAAGCGACAGGAAGAAAGACACCGACAAAAGGTCTTGGCCAACAAGAGTGACTGTGCAGACAGCAGCAAGAGAGAGACGGACTCGACCAACCGTGTCACCTTGGTGAAGGCCATGGCAGCCCTGAACATATGACTATATGTGGACTGAGGGCTCTGGTGTGAAAAGCAAATGAAACTGGTGAAGACAGAACTCCCCTTAAGCAGAATTCCAAGCAAATTTCCAAGCACCTGTTGTTATCTTGAAATCAGTCTTGGCAGAGATCTCTAAGCACACGTGAATTTCCTGTTTCTTCACTGTGGGGCAAACAATTATTTGGTAATTCTTCATCATCCTGTGTGTGAGAAGAGTTGTTTGAACTTTACAAAAAAGTAAAGACCTGGTTTTGTAATTTTGCAGTCAGATGAAGGCGAGAACCTTTTCTTCACGCAGCAGTATCAAATTTGATATGAGATCTCTTGATGTGCTTAGATTTTTTTCTTTTTATAGCAACTATTTACTGGGTTGTGCTTGGAGGAGCTTTGTTTTACCTTGCTGTCAGGGAAGGCTTAACAATTCTCAACTCAGGAAAATGTTTTTTGTTTCTTCCATTTAAATTTAAATAAAGTAAGGGAACGGAATCCCGGAATCTTTTCCAAAGCTAAATGTGTCAGCCAACACTGTATCAAACATGAGATTCCCCTTTTTTTTCTCCCATGCACAAATGCAGTGATCAGTTTTAATCTAACGAGAACTGCTTGTGGTGTTGCACTGGGCTGTTTCAGAAGTGATTAATACATCCCTGCCCATGGCAGGGGAGTTGGAACTAGATGATCTTTGAGGTCCCTTCCAACCCAAACCATTCCATGATTCTATGATTCTACGAAGGGAGAATGTGATTGCTGCGTCCACGTGTGTTTCATTCACTAGCTGTTGAGACCTTTTGAGAAAAAAAAATACCCGTGGACTCGTGAGACTGCAGAAATGATTCATCTGATCTGCTGAAGTCTAGTGAGGTAGTAAAATGTGACATGAGCAGGCATGAGACTCCTGTGGAGTGTTGTTACTTGGACATCTGGAATTTCATCTCCTTTGCCATACTCTGGAGCTTTTGGGCTAGTCCAGAGCTTTAGTCCAAGCCAGGAACTTGTTAGTCGTTAGTCTCCAAATGAAATTAATATAGCCAAAGGATCAAGAGTCCTGGGAACAAGCTTCCAAGTAGAAGTGATCTCTGGGAACCCTGCCTACTTCACTCTTCATAAATCCAGGGTAGAATTTTTTTCGTCCTAAATTCCTCTTCGGTACGATCACCACGTACCATAGAATGTACAGCTTGAATTCTGTGATGCTTTCCACTATAGGATTGGGAATTTGAATCAGAGTGAAAGGACTGTGGGATTTGGCCCTCGATTTATGGCTTGCAGTGTTTCAGCTTCACTCAGGTTTTTGGACTTGTATCAAGCACTAAGCTCGAAGAAAGCACATGTGCACTTACAAACACAATGGATAACGAGGCACCTCATCACCCAGGGCAGAGACAAAACAGATTTTCTTGTAAGCGAGGAACGTTGCTTTTGAAAAAGTTCTGTGAATTCTTTGAAGATGCCAAATCAGCACAGAAATATAAATGCCTTTTTTGACTGAACTGCTAAGATCTGAGCTTGTACTTCTTGGAATGCTCTGCTACTGTTTATCCAGGGCATTTGAAGAATAAAACCAAAGGAGCTTGAAGTACTGGTTGTGTAGGAGAACAGGCTTTAATGCTGGTGAAGAAGTTAATTTGGTTCCTCTAATGAGCTTGGTGGAAATAAAAGGTATTACAGAGCAGCTCTTACACTTTATGGTGGGACATAGTGTCTGGCAAGAGAAGCAGTGTATTAAGTGCTGGTCTGGGTCCCGGTGATAGGCACGAGTAACCGCTGTAGGGGGAGGTCTGAGGAGTGTTTCATAGGTAAGAAGAGCATGGATGAGCCTTGAATTCACAGTACCATTCTTAAAATACAAAATTATTTTGGTAAACTCCATTTTATGTCAACCTCAGACTGCCTGTTGTCAGCAGTGTTGCTTCCTGGAATTATTTTTCCCCAAAATAGTCACTTTTACAGTAGTGGAAAGAATGGCAAGTCATAGCTTAATGGGGAGAAAGTGCGAGTCACTTCAGCAGTGTGATGAGTTGAAGATGGTGGGCACAGCAAGGTAGTTCAGGTAAATGTGTCACCTTGTCTTGCTCAGCCATATTTTGATTTGAAAAGTGGTAAGTTCTGCAAGTTTGAAAAGATAGTAAGAATTTGCGGTCATACACCACGAATAAGATGTTTGATCTTAATGAATTGCTTTTTTGTCTTCCTGAGACAGAGCTGATAAGAGGATTATTGCTGCTTTGAGCCTGGAGAGCCGTGAAAGGGAGTTGTCCTGTAGGAAGCTGAGCTGTGGGTGTGCAGGGACCTCCCAAACCTAACCTCATCTGTGTGCAGGACGGACGAGCAGGCCTGCAACAGCAACGCATCCTAAATAGCAGAGAGGGGCTGACCGTCAGCTCGTGGCCTCTGATACCTGTAACCAAATACGTGGCTGAAAATGCTTTTGTTTGCACGTGTAATACTATTAAAACAAACTCTTAATGTGCTGGGCTTGTTAGACCAGTCAAATTCTCTTTATTTTTGCCAGGACAGCTTTGTACCTGCACAAACATTTTGTATCCAAAGACGTTAAAACTTTCATTTTGTCTGTGTTTGATTTTTCCTTTATCTGTTGAAATTTCCACCTGCCCTTACGACGTGTATTTGTTCCTAGGGAATCCTTGTGCAGCATTCTTCAGGAAACTCACTTTTCTGTAGAGAATTTGCTTTGTAAACAGGTGGTGGATTTTCCTTGCAGGAGGAAGCGAAGCAAGAAAAAAAAAAAGATAAAAACATCATGATTCATAGCTCGTGTTTACTCTTTGGTGGAGCTAACTGCGCTTCGTAATATGCGGTCATGGGACAATAACACTGCGTGTTCCCTTGGTGTTTGAGGAGCATTATGGTTTGTTACTGGTTGCTAACTGACATCTTGGAGGGTCACAAGTGAGCAGAGGGCCAGGAGCGTGTTTGGACTGCGGCTGGGCTGGCGGGGCCACTGTCAGCTTCTCACAGGAGAGCATACAACAGGGCAACATAGAAATCTGCTTTCCCTGCGTGTCTGCCACCGTTGTCTTCCTCAGACTTCCCCCCCCCCCCCCCCCAATCCTGCCCTTGCAGGTGAACTGGAAGTTTTAAGCATTTAGCCAGGTTTTGTCTGCTGTCCACAAGCATGTCTTGGCCTTACAATGTGTGGGAGGGCTTTTCTGCTTGTGCTACTTGGTTTCTGGTGTTCCTCGTTCCTTCTCGGAAGGCTGCCTTTTGGTTTATTAACAAATAAATACACCTGCAGTGCCTGAAGAGCAGCAGAAGACACATCATCCATCATATCCACATCTGCGGTGCTCTGGCATTCCTTTTCTGTTGGATTTCGTGGAAAACTACACGAGTTTTCTTTTCCCTTCCTCCTCCGGACACTTTGCAGGGCACCTGCTTCTGTTCCCAAACTAAACCTCCTCGGTTTTGGATGCTGAGTGCAATTGCAAAGACGCGTCAGGTGAACTGTGCCAGCAGAGTCGTGTGTACAAGACACGCTGTGGTTTAAAAGGCAAAACTTTCAGATTAATTTAACGAGTCCACACAACCTGAACGCTTCCAGGGGATGCGGTCTGGCGGCTGGGGCGTAAGTTCACCTGTTGCCTTTCCTGAGCTTTGGAAACTTCACTGAAAAGGGGGGAAATTGGGTCATTCTTCGTGTTCGTATTCCAGTGTCGTATAAAATTGGAGCTGATTTATGCTCGTGGAGCCTGTTTGCAGGCACAAACCTTAAAGGGTTTGTCAGCTCCGTCCCAGCTCTCTCCTCTCATCCCAAAGCCCTTGAGAGGCTCCAGAAAATGAGTAAAAGAAGAAAAAGAGTGTTTCAGAGTTACAAAGATACCATGTTTACTGTAGGAAGCATGAGGAAGGGATGTTACTCCCGATTAAACGTTAAATGGAATCAGGCAGGAGTCCCCTAGCACTGAAGTGAAACTCAAAAGCAAATACCCTTAAAAAACCCCTTTATTTTAGCACTCCTGACTCCAGAGTTGTGCTGAACGTCTCCAGAGATGACATTAAAACCAGAGGTGCCTCCATGGGGGTGTGAGGGGCAGCTGCCCTGGCTCGTTAGGGCTAATTGCAGATTGTGCACAGCTGTGGGGAGCTGCGGCCGGAGGAGCCATTCCCGGCCGGCTCCAGCCCCGTGAGGACCTGCTGGAGAAGGGGTAGAAGAAAGAGCCACCCCAAACCGCTGCCAACACCCCCACCACGCTCCCCCCGCCTTCTGTGAGTATTAATTGCTTTAATTGTCGTTAGGAGCGGGATGGGGCTGTGCTGCAGCCCAGCTCCCTGAGAGGAGCTGGCTCAGGCCCGGGCCGCGGTGCTGGAGATCTTTTTTTTCCCTTGAAAGCTCTTAAGATTCACTGATTGTCTGGTAAAACTCCCCTCTGGTAAATGTTTTTTAAGAAAAAGTTGCAAAACTGCATGTATGCGTAAATATTTACTTCAGAAAGCAGCCGCGAAGCTCCGTGCCGGTTCCTCCCCCTTCCACCCTCGATTCCCAAAACCCGATCGCGGCGCCGGATACGCTTTACAAATTGCCTTGGAAAACTGATTTTTATTTGCAGGGATTCCCTCGTTTTTATGATTTATTTAATCGTGGGAGCAGGCTGTCCCTGTGCACCGGCTCAAAGCCCAGCGGGCTCCGGGGAAAGGCGCCGGATGCCATTTCAGCACAGCTGTGCCGTGCCCTGCCCACAGGGAAGGCCAAAATGTCACAATTTAAACCATTTCTGTCAGGTTTGCAGTCTGGCGTGTCTAGCAGGTGGGAGTTGAGCCCCGGCACAGAAAGTTGAGGTAGTTTTTGTAAGAGTTGCTGTAGGTCTTGGCCGTCCTCTGGAAGCACTCCGCCGCCTTCCTGTCGCACTCGCAGCTCCGTGTTTCGCACTAAGTCCCGGATCCTGGAAGAAAATTCAGGGGGGAAAATGGAGTCGGGCGAAGTATGTTGTCTTTTGGACTGTCCCTGTGTGTACGCAGTCCCCTGCGTTGAGTTTTGGGGTGTCTCGGGCAGTCCTCTGGTGTGCGGAGGTACCTGCTTAGGAACCGTGCGTGGTCCTGGGGGAACTGGTGAATTTACTTTATCTGCCTCTGTAGGTGCAGGTATTTGCTGTGATCACAGGGACGTGCTTCGTTTTGATCCACTCGCCCTGAAACAGTGGCGGAAATCGGGGCACCAGTGCCAGGTCCCTATCCAAGATGGAAGCGTCACCTCAAACTCTCAATATTTGGCCTCTGTAGAAGGGCAAGCCCCCTCCTGTGGGAGGTCTCCAAGCTCTGAACTTCACCGTACTCCTAGCAAATAAAAGTTTGCCCTATTCCTGGCGCTTTTCCCTCATTTCTGCCCCCTTCCCAGCAAGTGGTTTCCAAGCCAGGATGGTTAAAGGACATCTTGGAAGAGAGGTCCTCCAAGAGTGTGAGTGGGTCCTTCCCGTCGTGGCTTTGACCCCGCGCCATCTCTTGCCGCAGATGATCTGGCTGCCCTGGGTAGAGTATTTATACGTGACCAGTTTGGGGCTGCAGCTCGAGGAAGACAGCTTCTTGTAGCAGCAGTCGTGGGCATGGCAGCACCTGGGAGCGCGAGAGTCATGGTCGGGGCAGGATGGGGAGCGGTGGGGGTGATGCCACGGTGGTGAACATCTGGTGGTGCACAGCCCCTGCGAGAAATGTCTTGCATTTGTGCCCAGGTTAGGTGCAGGGTTGTGCAGCAGCCTTGTTCTCCCCAGCATCACCCTCGCACTCGAGTGCTGAGCAAGGGAGGCAACTCGTACCTTTCTGGCATCGCCATTAGCTCTCCAGTTGCTTTCCCGCTGCTCAGCTGCAGCGACTTTGCAGAATGCCTAATGGCTGCTTTCGATTAGCCCAGGTGGCAGCTGCATCCCGATGCAGTTCTGCCTAATGCCACAAAGGCAGAAGAGACACGGATGTGCACCGTTCCTGTTTGCGGAGGCAAGCATTACCATCGCTTGCACCCACGGAGAGGGACGTGAGGAGGGCTGGGGGCACCCGCTCCGCCTTCACCAGGTCCTGACTTACCAGTCGGTCGCATCCACTGGCTGTTTGGATCCCCCCAAGCCGCAGTAGCAGCCGTAACCGTTGTAGGACAGTGGCGATTTCCCGGTCTTGTGCTTAATCATTGCACCGAACTGAAGCAGGTTACAGCTGGTGAGGGCCAGCCCTGTGACTGGAGACAGGGGGTTAGGAACACTGGGAAAAGCAACCGCCCGTCCCACCCCTCCATAGCAAAATTGAGCGTTTTCTCCCTCCCCAACTTTATTGTTTATGGAGATAAATTGCGAGCGCCGAGCTTTCCCTGTCGCCTCGTCCAGCGAGGTGAGAGCTGGTGCAGGGGGTACTTACGGCAGAGGAACAGCAAGAAGAGCTTCATGTCTGGGAGTGGCAGCTCCGATGTTTGGTGTGTCTGTGGTGCCACCGGTTGTGCCTTTTATGGCCACCGTGTACCAGCTTGGCGGTGCGCTTCCTTTGGAGAATCCAAAGTGGGCAAATATTGACAATCCTGGCCCTATTGGTCCTGCTGCGCCTGCGAGCCTCTCGGTGTTGCCAGAGGCCCTGGCTGTGGGATGCCCTACACTGGGAGAGCTCTTTGCAGGAGAGGTTTTGGTGGACTGGGATGAGTGAGGCAGACTGGGGTTGAGTCTGTGAATGGCTCTGGGTATCTCAGCATCCCAATGCCTCCCAGAACAAAGTGGGAGAACTTGAGGGAGAACAGGAACCACTTTGTGCTGGATGATTATTAGTTTTTTGATGTCATGGTTAGAAAATGCCATTTGGTATCTTACTGTTGCCATCATGACTTACCTGGGCAAGGAGAAAACGCAGCCGGTACAAAGCATCCTTGGCTTGCGACTCACCAAAGCGGGTGAGATGCAGCTCCGGGAGCAGAGGAAGGTCCAGTGATCCTCCAAAACAGGCTGTGGCTGAAGGCAGGGCTGAGGACGCTGGTTTTCTTGTTAGTGGTGGCTTGTCAGTGCCCAGATGCTCCCTGTGTACAGGAATGCTCCATCGCTTTCCCCGTGTGCCCTGTGAACAGTCTTGCTCTCAAACAGAGCAGGCAGCACTCACGGACCATTGCACGAGGTGTCTGGTTCACCTGTACGTAGAAGCAAAATAAGGCAAACAGCAGGGTAAGGAAAAAGAAAAAATGCAAGTGGTGTATAATGGAAGGGTAAAAAGAGAGGATGGTTATGTCGTTTGCTCAGAGAGAATCTCTAATTAAATAGGTGGTGCCGAACAATCATTTTAGCAGTTTTATTCTGGCAGAGATTGCAGGTGCGTAGTGCTCTGCACCGCTTTGCAGGGGAACTCCAGTGTGGGCAGGCACTGATCCAGAGGGAGGAAATCCCCTTGTCGCTGATAGGGAAACTGAGGCAGGGAACGAGGACGTGACTTGCGTGGACATCGGAGAGATGATGAGAAAAGGGAACTCAGGTCAGGGCCCTGGCAAAATCTCTTCCCCTGTCTGGCACATGCCGTTTGCCTCGTCAGCTCTCCAGGTGAATTTAAGTAGACCCCTGGGACTGTGGCAAGTTAATTAGCTGAACCAGAACTTCCCATAATTCAAGATTTCCTGAGTCTGCAGCCAGTTTTTATCACTTGAGAATAATAAGGTCTATTTTGTGCACCAAACCAGTTGAGCTTCCAGGTGAAAGACCCTCCACCCCAACTCCTCTACCCACTGCAGGTTTACAGTAGCTCTTCCCCAAATGTGCAAGGAGACCCCCCCCCTCCCCTGGGGCCAAACACCTCCTGGGAGGACGTGGATTTTGTTCCTCTTTTGCGGTACGGAAAACACAACTTCTGCACCCTGGTTTATTGCCGTGTACCAAGGGGGTGCAGTATCTGAGCCAACACTTCAGCACTTGGAGCTCCTTAGGAACAGATTCGTACAGCCAGATGCGCAAGCAGAAAAATACATACATAGTTAAAATTCACCCGGAATTTAAACAGGGAGAGTGTGTTTCAGCTCATCAAGGCGTGCAATCTGTCTGCCTGATTGCCTCTCTCCCACCTCGGCGAGGATTTGATCCTTGATTTACACCTTGCAAACAGCAGCTGTTGGGCGGAGGGCTGCCCGCTCCTTCCTTGTCTCCCCCAGGACTAAACGCTGCTGGAGGAGGAAGATGGTTATATGATGCCTGGGTCACAGCCAGAGGGAAGCGCTTCTGATTTAAGGGATATTTCCTGGTGCTGTTGACTTCAGATTTGGAGCAAGCCAGGCTGGGAATTACAGCCGCCGATGCCCAGGGCATCCACCCCCGAGGAAATGGCGTTTTGTTGCTGTTTCTTGGCTGTATTTCACTGCGAGACCCCGCGGGGTTTGCAGTGCTGAGACCTCCCAGGGGCTCAGCCCGGCTGGATTGGTCTGCAGGGCAGAAAACCTGGGCCACGGGGATTCTGCGGTGCTTGGGGGGGAAGCAGCCCCAGCCTGACCTGCCTTTTCCTAGGGGACACGCTTGGGATTGTTGCAGAATCAGGCCAAAACATTCCTTTCTGATGAGAAATATGTTTTGTTCCATGCTGGCCGTGAGGCAAGCTCCCGGCCACCCCGTTGCAGCAAAGGTTGCCAGCACCCGGCCCTCCCACAGCATCCTGCCTGCCCGCAGCCCTTTGCACCAGCTGTGATTTCTCTATCTCGGAGCAATTCCTGATTTTCAGGGCCTGAAGGCTCGGGGCTAAGCGAGAGGGCGGTTCAGGGGTGCAGATGTACGCCGGTGGGAGATGCATCACCTCTCAGGTGTCCTTTTTTACTGGGTGTTTCAATGGGACACCTAGCCACGAGGTTAGCTTCTCCCCGCTGCCTTCAAGGGTTGGTTGCTGCGCTCGGCCGAGTCACGTCACACCGAGGACCGATGTTTTGCACTCTCTGTTTTTTATTTTGGAGCAACAGAAGAGAATGTGCAGCGAAGGGAAAAGCAGAGGGAGCTGACAGGCTGCGCGGGGAGCTCGAGCTAAGGGGAAACGAGTGTCAGCAGAGAGACTCGCGCTGGTTTCCGTCTCGCCCTTTGCAGGGACAAGGCGCAGGTGTCCACCCCTCCCTTGTTTTTCTGGGCTGAAACGTTGCATCTGTGCTGCTCTCCCTCCTCGGATCCAGTATATAATGATGCAACTTCACGAGAGGGTTGTTGTCCTCGTGACGCGGCCAAAAAAGCCCCGAGCAGGAGACTCGCCAAGGTTGGGAAACGCTCCCGGTGCTGCGCCGTCTGTTTTCTTATCCTCCTGGAGGTGGTTTTGCAAAAAGCCCTTTTGCTTCAACACCGCCCGGCTCGTCGCCGGCACTTGCCGCGACGCCGGAGCAGCCCCCGGCGGCGCATCCGACAGAGCCAGGCTGCCCGCTCGCATCTGCAGGCACCTCGCTGGCACCAGGTCCCGGACCCTGCGGGGACCGGAGAGAAATCACCTCTGAGACCTTCTTTTTGGGAAGATGCCGGAGTGCTGCCCTGAAAAAGGGGCATCACAAAATAGGGAGATGGTCTGGAAAGAGGCATCCGAACTGCGACTGCGGGGGGACTCACTGCAGGTGGGGATTCCTGCCTGGGGTGCTGGGCGGGGCTGGATAGGGCCC